AAATTTCAGTTGTAAACAATATTATTTACTTAAATACAAAAACCAGACAAATATAAAACATTTGTACAGCACACATTGCAGTATAAAAACAAACAAAGAAAAAAAAAATACATTTTCAGAACTTTTTTGTTTTCATTCAAAACATAAAAATATTTTCTCTGTTAATTCAGCACTTTCATGAAATAACAAACACTGTGAAAATTCCCAGCTTCCTGAAAAGTACCTTTTATGTGCATTGTTCTTAAATAAACGGTGCATCATCTATTTAAATACTCAAAGGGGGGGGAGGGGTTTCCAAGACCTGCAGAAAACCCCCGAAACGGGTTCCACCTTGCTTGCCGCGTCTGTCAAGCCGTAGTATCGGCCTGCCATACTATAGAGGGGAAGAGGTCTTGGCAGAGGGCAAAGGTGTCTAAAAAGAGAAAGTTGGTGCTTTTTCTGTAAACTTCACTGAAAGAAAATAAAACTCTATAAGGTTGCACTCCCGACTGTCACCGGCGTACAGTTTTTTTTCTATTTTATCCAGTTTCAACCCAAACACTGCTGTGAGGTTACCCGATACAGTGCATGACGTTCGATCAGTGTCTCGATACTCGGTATCACCATTATGGAATGCATGGTTCGTTCCCTTGGTCCCAAAACGACCCGCCCTTCCCCTCTCACAAGTTGCAGTCACATGGTCTGCCTTCGCTTCCCTATTTTACGGGCAGAAGTTAGGAAGACGTTTTTTTTAAGTGCTGGGGAAGGGATTAGTCACCGCGCGTTAACCCTTCTGCTGCTACGAGGCCGAGCGACTTCCTCGCGGCAACGAAAGGGTTAAGACAACGGGCCGGGCGAGCCTCGCTCTGCAGCTGTGGAATGGTGTCTCAGCCTAGCAGGACCTCGACTAAAGGCACGCTGGCGATTTCTGTCCGACCACAGATGAAGAGTTCGGCTTAAGGGAACTACATATCTCACCACGTGGTCCTTCTGGAGTGCTGGGATGGAGCAGCATTATCATGATTGGATGGGTGCTTGCAGACAGCATCCAAGACCCCACACTCCTCTAACGTTAGAAAGTCTCTCCCTTTCATCTAGGGCCAGGGGTTAGGGAACTGGTTGCCTCTCCAACTGCTGTGGAACCAGAAGCTCCAGACGGGTGGGACTTGGACTTCCACAACAGCTGGGGAGCCATAGTTGCCTAAGCCTGGTGTTGTCCTCAATTCCTTCACAAGGAGCAGTTCTTGCCCTTTCAGGCTCGGTTCTGGTCAAAGCAAGACCCACACTGGGGCGCAGTCCTTTCAAAGACCCACACTGGGGGGGCAAAGTCCTTTCAAAGACCCACAAAAGGGCTCAGGTTTTCAAAGCCTGGGTCTTCCCAGGGCATAGTTCTTTCTTGCTTCGTTCCACAAAGAGCACAGTTCTTGCAGCCTAGACCCAGAGGGCACGGTCAATGCCCCCTAGACCCACATAGGGCTCAGTTCTTGTAACTTTAGACCCTCCTCAGGCTCAGTTCTTGCCTGGTTTGACTCACAACGGGCACAGTTCTTGCTCTTCTCCCACCTCTCAACCAACCCCTGAGTGTTTTGTAGTCAAGTCTTAAAGGAGGGGTTGCCAAGAGGGGGTGCTGGTGGACACCTGGGCATGCAGTTTGGAGTCTTCAGAACACTGGTTGCCCCTTGCTTCCTAGCAGCAGCTGACACCCGTGCCTGGCGTGTTCTCTCACCCGGACCTTCAGCTGTTCCACCTGCTCCCGCAGCATACCGGCGGTGCCGCTCAGCCCGTTGTTTTCGCTTTTCAGGTCTCGCACCTTGTCCTCCAGGCGGGCGATGCGTTCCAGCTTGCGTTTCCGGCACTTGGTGGCAGCCAGCCGGTTCCGCAAACGCTTCCGCTCCACTTTGATCTTCTCCTGCTCTTCCATGTTGATGGGGGAGAGAGGGGCGGGCGTGCTGTCCCTGCTGCCGGCCTCAGGCACCGTCTGGGGCTCTTCCTTGAAGTTGGCACCCCCGTAGCTGTGCGGCAGGTAGTTGATGGTGGCCGACGGCTGCCTGTAGCAGTTGTAGGTAGCCAGGTTGGTGTAGACGGCCGGGTCATGGTACATGGTGGTGCCATTCGGCGACCCTCCACCTCCGTTCATGGGCACGGAGCCACCCCCGAGGGACACGTTGGGGGGGGCGTCACGGTTCATCTTGTGCAAGTCGTCCAGGGCCCGGACAAAGCCGTCCACGAAGCCTTCCTGCTCCTCTGTGCCCCCACGGTAGAAGAGCGGACCCCCGTTAGGGCCGTTGATGACCCCGGGGCCGCTGTGGATGATTAACCTCTCCAGTTCCGGAGCAGACATCTTCAGGCTGGGCTGCTCAGAGTAGTAGGACAGGTCTGGCTTGGCTCCCCTGTAGTGCTCGTTTAAGGAAGTCAGGCTGGGCTTCAGCAGCCCCTGCTCCGGTCTGGAGTAAGCAGACAGCATTGAGTCATCATGGTAGAAGGGCTGCTCCATCCTGGAGCACATGAGACCGGAGGACGAAGGGGGCAGAGAAAGCTGACAGGTGCCGAAAAATCTACAGCAGTTCCGCTGACAGCTCCAACCGGTGAGCAGGCTGACTCGCTTCTAACAGAGATCATCACAGCGCCAGAGGCTTTATACACAGGTCCCGCCCCCCGGAAGCTGAAAGGCGGCCGCGGATTGGGCGCGGGCTGACGTCACTACTGCCGAGCGTGAGAAGGGGGGGGGGGGG